GTACCATATTGGTCACAGCACCATATTGGTCACAGTACCATATTGGTCACAGTCACAGTACCATATTGGTCACAGTCACAGCACCATATTGGTCACAGTCACAGCACCATATTGGTCACAGTACCATATTGGTCACAGTCACAGCACCATATTGGTCACAGTACCATATTGGTCACAGTACCATATTGGTCACAGTCACAGCACCATATTGGTCACAGTCACAGCACCATATTGGCCACAGTCACAGCACCATATTGGTCACAGGTATTATTTCTAACAAATTCATCTGGATGACTTCTGGAAATTATAAAATCCACGACCTTCACCTTGGATCTACAGCCTGAAACACATACTAGTTTGACACATTTTTGCACACAATACTTATAAAGTTCAATCAGAGTAAAATAAATGTGAAGGTGGCATCCTGATATTGAGCCTTTCAGAATTGTTCGCTTGCACAAGCATCACAATGATTTGATATGACTGTTTTGACCTTTCTGTGACCTTGATTTTAGAGGCAACAGTCAATGGAATTCCATGAAACAATGTCCTGTCCTGATTAAATAAGGAGCTGTTCAGAACTTATGACAACAAGCATAACTTTGATAATTTGACTCCTTTCTATGACTTTAACCTTGGGGACACCAATCTGAAAATTGTACCTAAAATTTCATCAAAAATATTCTGCAATGTTATAGTCTGGACAAGACTATAGGACAGATATACTGACACTGTATATAATACAAGTCCCCTCAGATTTTTCAATAGGGGACTAATAAACAATGAAATTGTCTGACGTATGTAGACAGTGCAAATAGAAAGTCTTGATTGAAGTGATACTGGACATCTCATAAGCTTAACCTCACTTGATTGTGCATTGCAAGGCCAAACTGCTCTAATCCTTTATCTCTCACTTCATTGACAGAGCCAGCATCTGTACCTACAATCAATGGATCAATACACTGACCAGTGTGTCAGTTTAGGAAGACCAGGGTTAATGTGGCATCCCACTGATCCTATTACCAAAATGCATCATTTCCTCTTTTTCAGCGTCCATACAGAATTAAAATCAGGGATTTTGTTTCATCTGACTGTTCTGGTCAGTAAGTTCATTTCAACTGACCATACTAGTGGAAGATTGGTAAGTTTTTTCCATTTTATCTGTATGACGTGTGCGACTAGTATTGGTAATGTTATTTTGACCACATATTCAACCCTGTGGTGTTGGCACAATGGTCATTAAGTCTTCCACCTTCAGTGCCTAATCTACCAACCTAGCAGACATGGTTCAATTAGGGTCAATCACCTCCGTAAATCACTCCTACTACACACTTCCTCCTTGGTCGAATTTCAATCCATCATTTCAAAATAACACAATTCCTGCCACGGGTGAGACACCTATACTTTCTGCGCCACGGGTGAGACACCTATATTTTCTGCGCCACGGGTGAGACACCTATATTTTCTGCGCAATATGCCGACATGCGTGCCTACATTCTGCAATACTGACGTATAGTCATCGCTGAGCACAAACTATAACCAACACCATGTTATTGGTGTTTATATTATTTCCATTCATAGTTTGCTCAATTCATTTAAGTAATTTGAAACAATCAGTGACTACTCTTATTTCTATCTATAGACAGATGAGTTTAATTTCTTATATGTTGAGATATGGAACCTATTAATGTACAGCTTTGAGTCCTTTCCTAGGGAATATCCTGGTAGCAAGCCGAGAAGAGATCTATACCATTTTGTATCAGGAATCAAATACTGGCCTTATACATGGAAGGGCAGCAGCATCACCACCAGATCATCAAAGGCTGATGGTCAGAACTTCCATATCTTTGTTAGGATCCAAACTCTGGAAAACCTAAACGTATTCACTGACGTTGTAGTCAGTAAGCGTGAAACAAAATAGATATAAAACATTCTGGTTTGCGTTGGTAGATGTTTACAAGTTGTATTCAAAGTATCTTCATAATTTCACTTCAAATTGAGAACAAGAATGTGCATATTGCTGGGTATAGGAAGATGTTTTGGTTGTTTGGTCATGTAGGATATTCATCATGAGAACAGCAACTGCTATGATCTAAAATTGAAAACAGCGGAAATGAAAACAACTAAATGACCCTCCCTTTAAAGGTTTTGTTTGTGCTTTATGTGCTAATAACAGCTATGGTCATTTAAAGACAAGTCAGCTTCTGATCGTGGAGGAAAGCCAGAGTACCCAGAGAAAACCACCAACCTGTGGCCAGTACGTATACTTGGCAACTGCCCACGTAGGCCTTGAACCCGCGACCCAGTGGTGATGCCTAAACTACTTGTCTACTGCGAGCCCCTTTCCTTTAAAGGTGATTCTATGATCAGAATAACTGATCGATATGTCAGCAACATCTGTACTAAAATTACAGCATTAATCAGCAATTCAAGGGCCATAATCAACTCCTCAAAATTTGCTCTCTTTCAAAATATTACTGAAACTGTACGGCTGCCACGCATTTTGAATGTTCTTCTAAATGATCATGAAGAAGGCTAATGTTGTTCTTAGTGAGTGCCGACCATGGATCCTCCTCATAACAAAAATACCTCAGGACTTCTGCATTATGGTCTCTAGATACAACACACCTTTCATCCTAAGTTTAAAATTAAAATGTCTAAATTTGTACTTAAATTTGAAGTTAATGGTTTTGTCAAATAATGGCAATAAACAATTGGTCCAAACTCTGAGTTTTACAAAATAAAACATATTACATGTATTGCCATTATCACTAATATGAAATACATGTTTTCATTTTCTGAAGTGTATATTCCATATTTTAATCATATCTTACAATACACTTTATTAAGACTTGATTTGTTCAAAATTGGTATATTTGATTTTTTTCCACAACTTACATTGGTTGAACTCTGGACCTATACACACTGCCAATCCTATGCTTGACCAATGCTACTACATGTATATATGAATTATAAATGCACAGCATCAAAAGGAGAGATGAATACCTTCACGAGGGAAGCAACTCAAAGTCAGAAGAAAAACATATTTTGTGTTGTTGCTTAGTCTTTTGACATTTGTTCCTCAGGTATTTTCGGATATTAATTACATGTTTCCACTAAAATGAAGCATTTTGACAATATTTTAGAGATTTCTTTTTAATTCTATTTGTTTTTTCATTAGGTGTGGCCTTATAGTTTGATCAGCTTCGTATACTATTATGCGTAATGCAAAATAAAACAAATATATCCTTTGAAACATATTCTGTTATGGTAATACATGTGTGTGAGTTATGCCAGTGATTTTATACTTTTTGGTACATTTTATATCTAGGTCATACTGTAGGCCTTTTCTCATGGAAAGGTGAAGCTGTTTTTTCCTACTTTCATCCAACCTAATCCTTACATCAATAGTCAACAAATGACTACAATTTAGCAGGAAAATCAGTTGTTAAAAAAGATTTCCATATTTTCCTCATATCATATTTTCCTATATCATATACAAAATATGTATCATTTTAAGTTTGATGAATGTCCTCAAAATTTCAGATATCTGTTATTTTTAGTTTTGTGAAAATATGCTGCTGCTCCTTCCCAAACCAAAACTTAAAAGGTACAGGTTTCTGGGAAGAAGAAAAAATTAACGAAAATCACTACGTCTTAATGCATTAATACAAGTGAAGTAAACAGATAGTTGAAGAGATGTATGTTCACAGCCTTTTCTAAGTTCAATCTCATTTATAAATAGGATGAAAACAGTGACAACTGCACTCCATAAAGGAGATCTGTCACTTAATTGAAGATGATGATGATGATGATGATGATGATGATGATGATGAAATTCCTTTGTTTTGAAATTTCTTTTAATTGTAAACATCATAGGATCCATAACCAATTTCATTACAAACTGTTACTACTAAACAAGTCAAGAACGTTTTCAGCTTATACAATACATGTACTAACTTAACACCTCATAAACAGTGGTGAATTGAAACACATGTATATGATATACCTTGATACTGAAGTAAAATAACTTAAAACATTATTTTCAAAATATAATTTTTTGTTTCTCTGATTTCAATAAAACCAAAAAACAAATGCTATGTCTGTAAGTGCAGGACACAACACCTGCATCAGACAGCTGAAAGCTAGCTGTAGGTTGTTGTATGTGTACATCATTGACACTTTTATTATACCAGAGAGATACTGTTCGAAATCAGTTCTTCATGTTTGGTATAATAGTTCATAATAATTTAATTTTTCATGGTTATATTATTTCAAATACAAGTGGCTTTGGGCTTCTTTTTAAATTACAAACTAAAATCAAGCCTAGTTCCTGGACAACTTCTCAATATATAAATGATAAATTAAGTATTAATTAATGCTACTATTCATCCTTACACATTGCACTTGTACAATGAATCAGTACAAGTTAGGCATATAGATATTACTATATAGTTGATAAAGAATATCATTGAAAATTACTGAAGTATACGGTGAATGTAATTCATACAAAGAAATATTTGCTTATGCAGTTGAGCAAAATTATAATTGTCAATACTGTATATATAATTTTCAATTAATGTGATCTGCTTTTTGTCCTTTTTAATAACTCAACCATATCATTGCAAAATACGTATGATCAATTTCATATTTAAAGTATTTTATTAGTAAATGAAACATAAATTTGTTTTTACTTTGATTTGGTCACTGCTACTAGAATATTTTGGTTGTATGATTTTGTAGTATTCCAGTTACAATATTCAACATTGTTATTGGGATACTATAAACATACACATTTTCAAAATTACATAAAAGTAATTTCACAACCTAACCCTATCAAACAACTTGGGGGAACAAATATAAAAGTTAAGTATCATAACTTTTTTGCAAATTTCAACTATAAATAATCATGCAGTGATGGCACAGACTCAGTGGAAACATATTAACAACTCCATAGAACAACAGAAGTATGCCACACAATTAAGGAGGCCAATGTTTACCTCACTATCATCAGACTGCATGTGTAGGTGGTATTCCTCCAGAATGTCCATGCGCTTGTTCACATCTTCTAAAGCCATTTCTATTGCAGGGAGACATCCTATACCGCCGGCCCAGCTTCCAGACATCGGAAATATCCCACCAATTGTCAAATTTTTTGGTTTCAGAATTTTTGGATCACATGTCAAATGGTCAATTATCATAAAAAACAAAATTGTCACTAGACCGGTTTTCATAATTTGAGTCTCTCAACTTCCACTCTTGTGTAATGTCATGTGCACTAGGATGTGAATCTCTTTAACATCTGGTTTTGATTTTTTTTCTAAACATGCTCATCATTGTCCATTAAACGGATAATGCGTTTTTTGCCAAGTCTATTCCTAGTTGGCTTTGGCCTGGTAGGTATCTGAACCAGCTCTCTATGACGGAGGCTTATGTTCGACTAGCAGCATGCACAGGTCAATATCTAAGGATGAAACGGTGTACCCTCAGTCGGCAATAAAACGGAATACACAAATGTATATGAATAAAAAGCCACGGTGTATTGATGAAATACAATTTGGTAGAAATCTCTATTGCTCTACTGAGCCGAGCCAATACTGGCTTAGCTAGCCCTGGGATCCCAGTCAATATCGCGGGTTGACAGCTGACAGCATCCCATCGCTCGCGCGCAAATGTCTTCTGCTGTAGCAGCACCGTAGTCTCTCGGACTTTTACCTCAGACGTTCGGCGTCGCTCAGTAGCTACTGCATGTAAAACACCGAGAGATCCGGAGAAACAGGTGCCCCTACGTCATGAATGAATGTCATGTACGTCATCAAAACCGAGAAGCACATGTTAAAGGAAAACATAACCAGAGAAGAAGCCAGCTGACGAGCTGTGAAACAACATGAAGTAAGTAGACTGATTTAAGTCATATCCATAACTTAATGTGATTCGTAATTTAACGTTTGACGAAAGGTAGATACAGTAATATTGTTTGGTATAGAATTTGCAGTATGAATATTTGCAACATCGATTTATGGCCGAAGAAACAAGTTGAAGCCTTTTAGCTGTTTAGCACTTTTAGATCTGTTTATAATGTGCTCTCCGTTGTTTATCAACAATATACAGTATTTAATTTAACATCGAAAGTTATTTTACAGTCACTCTATATAATTTACAATTACAACTTATTCAATCCTGTCGTCGTCGTCTTTGGACGAAGCAAATATAATACCAGTTTCTGTGCCGGTCTATTTACTATCGTCTAGACACCAGTTTCCGCGCGTTATGTATTTCCGCGCAGATATTCTATCATGCTATATCTCGTAACTACGTGACCTGCTGCACACAAAACAAGGATATTTTAGACTTATGGCCATCGTCTGTAAACTGACACAAAAATTACTGAAAGTTTGTCCGGAAAACATCAGAAATAATCACTGATTAAAAAAACATGCATAAATATGCAGTTTTGCTTATTAAAATGCACTTTTTATCTTGCTCAAAATGAGCCCATACCTGAAAAAACGGTGATATATATCATTCATGAACCGGTCTTTTTTGTAGTCTGACAAACGTACAAAAATGTCGTATGCAAATGAGGCCACATCTCCTCGCCGATTTTTTCCACCTCCGAAGAGCCAAGGAGACATTATTATATCGATTAATAGTGTTTTTAATGAAACATAAACCTTGTAATGCAATGAACTTCCAATTTTCACCAATTTTAAACAGAACAAAATGAGAAATAACTTACCATCAACCAAACCCGATATAAAGCTGCAGAAAAGAAAAAAAACAGATTCTATATTGTAACTGAATAAAGATAATAAATAATTTTAAGAAAATACATGAATTCATTCATTTTGAGATCTTGAAAAATCAATTAAAAATGTGAAATTTAAAAAAAGTTGTTTCGATAATTAAGATGCTCCACACATCATCATCTGCGTCCATTTTCGTGACATACTTCCGGAAAAAGTACAGCTCGGACTGAATTATCTTGATCGAAATGTGCATGTACACCGTGTCGTCATTTCCGTATTGCGTATCGGGCATTCAATATCGTAGTGCAAATTATATTAGCACCTGGGCCGTTTTCGTTTAAACGGTCAAACCGATCGGACCACTGTTGTTCGTTAATTAAATAAGGTCGGACCTAGTAATCTGATGCTGCTTTCAGGCGAGCCTTGAGAAAGCCTTGCAAGGCCTGCATACACATTTGCAGGTCCGCCAGGATTTATACCCGAAATTGTTACATTTATAATCGGTCAAACCGGTTGTTCCGCATAAACGAACAGGCCCCTGGTAAACAATAGTACATGTGCGTGCCGATGATATGTCAACACCCGATATCGAGATTTTACCGTTAAATGTATAATCACACGTANGTAGGGACCTAGTTTCTGAGTCACAGATTGGAAACAGTTGAGATCCCCACCCCATAACCATACATAAAATTGCTGGGCATGAAAAATTGAATACAGATATATATATGCTACAAGGATTGGCCTTGGGGTCTGGCATATTCCCATGGATCTCATTTGGAGAATATTCTGCCATGATTGCTTAGATATCCAGGTGAGCGATACAGGCCCTGTTGGCCTCTTGTATTATTGTTGTTATTTTTCCGAACAATGCCACACACACACAAAAACGGAAAATATTAAAATTGACGAAAATTTATTTTTTTGGTATTTTTTCCAAAAAAGTCCCCAAACTATCAGAATGTTTAGATTTTCATAAAATCAACTCTACATAGTCGCATAACCATTAAATGAAAGTTTCAACGAATTTTGCTGGTTTAATTGCGAAAGTGTGGAGCCACCTTAATTAGACGATCAGAGATATATTTTTTTATTCCAAACGAAGCTTTTGTTCTTGCAGGTCACTGTAGAGAATTTCTTTTTACTGTATTCAAGTTATCTTTCTTTGAACACTAAATCAACATAGACACACGGAAACATATGACGGCTACTTCCGACGGGAGAAATTTGTTAAAAATTGTTTGTTCTGATTTTTTTAAACACAGTTTTAGGTTGTTAGTTTTTTGTTTCCATTAGTAGATTGTATACATGTTTATGACATTCATCCATAGTTTCAACAGTTTTCTGCCGAAATGAGTACGAAATCGCGGATGCTTCTTAAGTGCGCGGAATCCGGTAACCCGAGGATACATATTATTATCAAGTTCAAGTTCTTTATTACTTTAAGTCGGTTGACTTATCAGTCATAACATATATACAAAACAATACAGAGACAACATACAATATGATACACACACACACACAATTCAACTTTTATTTGACAACTTATTGGATAACTATACTTTACAATAAATTACAAATTACGTATATGTATTGTGCAATCAACACTCATTATCAATCCCACATCATTATTGTGCATTCAACAATCATTAACGCTCTCACATCATCATCATCATCATCATCATCATCATCACCATCCTATAGTCTGATACAGCTATGGCCCAAAAAAATGGAAATGGATTGAGAGGAAATATTTTTTGAATTATTTCGAAATTTGCATCAGCTCCATTTTTGAATCATAACTAAATGTTTTGCATTATTGAATAATCCTGTTATTCTTACATTATTCCCCTGTTTACAAAGAATAAGAAGAAAATTCATCGAAAAACATAAAAAAGACTCCATGCTATTTGATGTTGCCTGTAAAATAGCAGACGAACTGGACCACATGACAGTCATGTGATTTTGTTAAGCAGGTGATGATGATCATGAGTTGTGACATAAAAAGTAAATCAAAATTCTGCCTTTTCTAGGGATAATATCTATTGTTTTCTAATGAAATAAAAAGGTGTAGTGTAAACTTATTTTTTTCCCACATTTTCTCTAACATTATTGCAGATGTATGGTGGTAATTTAGGACATGCACAGTTTTATTTTCTACATTAATTATCTGAAGTGCTTGAGAAAATTTGTCGAGCTCTTCAGATGTTATGTCTAGTGTTCGGGAAGTTATGTCGAGCGCTCAGGAGGTTAATTATGTCGACCACCCGAGACAATATTTTAAGTCAAGCCCTCCAGATGATCAATGTAGAAACTTAATATTTTGCATGTCCTAAATGATGACATCTACATACTTCAAGACCTGCTGTATGTGTGCAGTGATGTGAAAAAGATCAGGGCACAGAAACAAAGTCCTCAATACTGTATGTGTTGGTCACTGATGAACAGGATGCATGAGTGGCCATGAGCAGGTCAAACTAGGTGGTTACAAAACATAAGCCTGTTGTTATGACTGAGGTAAACTACCCAGCAGTATATGACTACATTAAGCCTGTCATACATGTATGTACATCCTGCAGAGCCTGCATCATACAATGCATTTTTTCATTCAATTTCCTCGAGCTTGGTGTCATTACAGTCAAGCATTCATATGTCCCCTAATATGAAGGGCTGCCCTTTGTTGTTAGGGGTCTCATTGGCATTGCATCAATATCCATGTTACTAGGCTTAAGTTCTATTCTGAACATTTGTGTGCAGAGACGGGTTCACCCTTCACTTACAAGATTTTTGCCAGATGTTTATAGGGTCCGGTACAGGGACCTATACCCAATTGAAAAATGACCTTGCATTTTCCCAATTGGATTAAAAAGCATGTTTATACAAGTTTCCAGTTGTTATTTGTGAGACGTTCAAAGTACTACTGTCCACAAAGGAGCATTCAAAATACAAAAAACAAAACCACTGAAAATTGATGTGTTTATTTATTGCTATACATTTTACTGTATGAAACAGCAAAAGGAAAACGTTTTGCTTAACACATTGCAGGTTTTATTTTTCCAAGCTCATGATATTTTCCCAAACCTGAACATGTGGGAACACTTACGATTTTTCCCAATTTTTGCCAAATGCTGATGATATTTTCCCAATTTCTGCTACGGGGTCCTTTCCCAAAATAGCTGGCAAAACCCCCTGACTTTGTCTGATTTTGCTGTTTAGCAGCTGGCACAGGCAGCGTCTTCAGTCATATTTTAGATTGAAAAGTGGTGACCACATTTACCGTTGTTTTCTCTGAGATGTTCCGTGCATTGATTGTCCTCAGGAAAAGAAGGGAAAAATATTGAATATGTTGCTAGTGCATCAGTAACTAATAAATGTTTTGGTATGGTATATTTTTTATGCTGTGTGGTTTCAAATATTGATCGGGAGGGAATGGCTACTAGTTCACTACTTGTTGCAAATTTTATATAGCACTGTCAGTTTGTGTTCTTGTTTGTTTAAAAGAGTTTAGATTAAGGTATTTCATCTACCATAAGTGCAGTGCTGGTCGAGTCTGGGTATTAAGTCTTCTAGGTGGGGGTCAACTAATCACATGCTTGGCCTCTTTGCCAGAACATAATCATTTTCTTTCTCTCAACTCCACCTCCTCAATTAGTGTTGGTGGACAGTCAATTAAGTCTTGTCAGTGCCATGGGGATTTGCCGAAACACTTGCATTGCTTAGACTGTATTCTGCCAGTACAAAATTCCATACCCTTTCTGTCACCCCCCTTAAACTTTATACTTGGAATCTATATCTTTATCCTCTGTGAGCTAGCTTTGAATTTTCATATAACAGAATCTTTCAACTTGTTGTAAGTGGTTATTTTCCATTAAAAGTACATTTGCAAACTTTTTTTTTCTTCAAAAAAATATGTTGTATGATTTGTGTACAATTTTTATTTTATCATGTATATATATATATACAAGTAAGGATATTTGTTAGAAGTGTAATGAAAATCAATTTATCTTTTGCAGGAAGTGTGAGATTTGTTCGGCGAATGTAGCCAAGTATAAGTGTCCTGGCTGTCTGGCCCAGACTTGCTCTCTTCCTTGTGTCAAACGACACAAAGCAGACATGGGCTGTAATGGGCAACGCAAGAAAACAAATTTTGTCACCAAGAAAGATTATACAGACGGAAATCTCCTAAACGGTTTGTAAAAACTTACATCTTTGTTGTAAGATTATTTTGCACTGAATATTCCTGAGTTTGAAAACATGTGACTAAAGTGATATATCATTTCAGATAATGACAGTTTATAATGGTATTTGCCATAATAAGCACCTTCCTCCATATTGGCCCCTCTCTTCCTGCCTTTGAATATTTTGTTTAAACATGTAAATGGAAGTTGTTATTCCCTGCTTAACAATCAGCATTTAGGGTAATGGCAACAAATGGTTTATCTGCTGTCAGTATATATAATGTGACCGGGCAGAATGCTGTGCTGGGTGCCTTCAGCATGGTTTTTCAGTGTCAGAGATAGCACTATAAAGTCGGCATCAGATCCGCACTCTCACAAGGAGGCAAGCGCAACAACATCCCCTGTCTCCATGCATTCACTAGTACTACACACATGGAGGCACATCGTTAAATGACCTCAGCAGTTAATAGGACGTTAAACAAAATTAAACCAAACCAAGCCAAACCAACATGTTAACCCAATCCAGGCCTCCTTTACAGAAACATTTGTAAGCAGAATTATAATTTCATTTCCTTCCAACGCCAGGTACCATCATCTCTTTAATTTAATATGATGGACTTTTAAATTACAGAGAAACCCTAAGAAAATTGAAAATATATATCAAACACTGGGAATAAATCACAGGCAGAAAGATGGCGATTTTATCTTTAACTCGGTAAACCTGTGATTTAACAGTCTTTAAAGAAGTATCTTTTAATTAAGCACTACTCACACTTGCAATATAAGCTGGCATAAAGAGGGATAACTCTTACAATGTATTAAGATTTTTCTCATTTGACTGAAATGTTTTTGTTTTAGACTATAGATTCTTGGAGGAGACAAACAGAAAAGTTGACAGTACACAAAGAGATCGTCTTAAACAGCGAAGTAACAAACCAAACTTTGTAAGTATGACATCTTACAGATAAATCACATGGATTTATACTTGATATAGAACAATAGTTTTCACTTTGAAGACTTAATTTCATAGTCAGCTAAGTCTCTTCAGTCACCTCTAAAGTAATTTGTCCTGAAGTCTACCATCATTTTGTTCTCTACAAAGGTACACTTCATGCATTGAGACATAGGACCTTTAGCTTTAATACCTGTGGATCCTGATATCATAGACCAATCTTGCAACAAGCCTCAAACAGCCTACAAAATAGCCATTACACTTTTGTCTCTTTCCAATATTGAAATACATCAACCTGAACCCATCCTAAAGTGATCAGGAAACAATCAATAAAAAGGTATAAATGAACCTTATAAAAGACCCATTATCAAGTTACTGATCATGAGGATAACTGCATTGGGTCATTCATCTTGTGTTTTCTCCTTTACAGCTGATCAAATTAGTAAAAGAAGCCAGAAAAAGGGGGATAAATCTGAAGATCATGCCTTATCCAATGGCAAAAAGGAAACACAACATGACCATGTACCAACACAAGTAGGTATTAGTCCCCACTGGTATTACCCAAGGGGACTATAGGTTTGTACTCTGTCCATCAGTCAGTCAGTCAGTCACATTGTCAGGGTTGTATCTCATACATGTCACCCTGATACAAAATACTAGCCACTTCCTACTTATTCATCTAGGGAGAATTTCTCTTTGGCTCATCCTGTAAAGCATAAAGCCAATAGTTAATCAGGGGTCCTGGGTTCAACCCCTAGTGGAAGCATTAAAAATACAATTCACCTCTGTTACACATGCATATCACCTATAATTACATTATTTTGTATGAGAGTATCTCTTGAGTCCCACTACAGAGTTACAGCCCTTTGTTAACTGTTTATCACTTTGTCTAGAGCAGAGTCTCTCTCTTATATTGGTAAAGTGTACAATTGCTAAACTCTGTAATTGATTACATCTATGTATGATGGAGAGTAACATACTGAAACAAGGTCTTGTGCACTGCTATATATGGAGTTGTGTCCCTTTATTTAACCATCAGCTACATTGCCCAATGCATATCTCATAGACACTGTCTCCTGCAATTGCCAACTTTAGTATGTGAGTACTTCTTTGGGGTTTTGCCTTTTAGATAGTGTCTTGTGTCTTTGTACATTTTGTTACCAAAATTTGTCCCGAGGTTGGGGAACATAGATTGCTATGTTGATCTTATCGATGGAGATAAATCAGAGGCCCTGAAAACACACTTCGTTGTTTTTAACCTGTGTAGTGCATTATGTAATAATCTCTTCTTCGTGTTACAGAGGTTGGCCATTTTATTGACTAATTTGGAATTTGTTATCTTATTTCAAATTGTTGTGTCTCATTGATCTAAATTAATTCTTTCATTTCAATAAAGCCTGTAAAATTTCCATTTTTGTGTTTAACTAAATTAAGTCTCTGAAAACACTTCTTGCTGCAAAAAATTGCCTCAAAATAAGTCCTTTTAGTTAAAAAGTGATGAATTTTAAGTTGTTGATGCAACTTGAATCTTGAATTTTATCTTAAACAAGCCACAGGAATTGTGTGTGATGGTGTACTGTCACCCTATTTAGAAAATAAAAAATATTTTTGATATCTTAATGAGGCTGCTGGCAGTGGCAAACAGTATGATTGACACTGGCAGGATTTACAGCCAGCAGTTTGCATGAAGTTAATCAAGGTAAAAGAGAAGAATAACTGAAAAATCAAAAGTCATGGAACCTTATAATTTAAATAAAAGAGAGATACAACTGCAAATTAAATGTTCTGGAAATACACTTGTCTGTAAAGAGGAAAAAAAGTCTAAAACTTAGGTTAGAAGTAACCCATGCACTTACAATGGCAGGCACCCACCCTGTTCCCAGGACATTTACCAAAGTGGGGAGGGGGCTTATTGCCGGTAATGATAAAAATGAAAACAGACTTCGTTGTTGAAAATCAAAGGCAACAATGCAGTTATTTTCGTTGAACACTTGAAGTACTTAATAAGAATCAGAGGCCATACATTATGTCCTACAATCATTGAAGTATATTTGTTTTTAACAGATACAAAATAAGGTTACTTAGGTAACTGTTTGATAATTATAACTAAAAGAAAAGAATTAAGAAAAGAATTTATCAAAAACATTTCTTAAGGTTATAGGATATATTTGATGCTATGGGTGTTCTAGGTATACATTTTATTCAAGACAAGAAATGTGAACCTTAACAACCATGTTTGTTTAACTTGTTACGTTTCGATGACTATGTGATGTACTAGCTGTCCACTTCATTTATGATCAGTCAAGCCTTATGGTTTATATACATCAAACAACAAGACAACATAATATGTTTTTGTTTTTCAGGTTACAGACCATATTTTGGAATGTTCAGTGGCTGTTTCCACAATCTAAAGCCAAATTTACATCTAAAAGGTATATAACTCTGGTGTGAAGGACCACTTTTGATCCATCCAGTTGAATTAACTTTGAGTTTTAGTACAGGAACTGTGCTACCTGGTAAACAGTATTTTTTAAGGTTTACAAGGTTTTCTTAAGGTTATAGGGTTTTTTTAAGAAAAAGGTTCACTGGTTTACAAGGTTTCATTTTCTATTAAACTTTTGTTAGTTTTAATGAATAGTCTTAGCTTTTCTTTTAGAGAGTTAAGTTGTTATTGAGTAATTTAAAAGAATTTAGAGATTGATCAATGGTGGAATTGTTGGATATTTCATTTAATGAGTATCATTTATCACATGTGAGTGTTTTGAGTGGTGAAACATGGGAAAGCCACACCCTGAAATGTTTGTAACTGTTGTAGATTGTCTGAGCATCTTACCCTGGAGGAGCTGCTGAAGGTGTTTGTACACCCCACGGAATCCGACCCCGTCAAACGACATGCCCTCAAGGTTTACGGCCAGAAGGGGCTGCAGAACTGTCGACTGTTCATGAAAGTCGAAGAGAGACCCGCCAATGATGTTAGGTTTGTAGATTAACTGGGTTGGTTTCACATCTTGTTCTTACCAATAATTTTACTTGAACCAGTCACAGAGTAGACATCAATAACAAGTTAAACACCATATATCAGGACTGTTACCTAGTGATACACAGGTAAAATCCTGTTCGCCGAGTGGTAATTTCACCTTTCACATGTTTTATTATACATCGCATGACATGAGTTTATATTTGTAGTCATGAGAAACGAACTCTCATGTGATCATATAAAATTATAATTTTAGCTTAAAAAATTTATCATTAATTTTACCATCACTCCATTGGAAGATTTGCAGCTAGCTAGGTGATTAAGTTTCAGTTAATGAATAAAGCTGGTATTTTGCAACAGAGCACAAGAAAACTGACAGAATATTTGTATTTGTGGTATACTTCGACACTGTCGAGTTTGAGGTCTGAGTAACAAATAACTGTTAATCATGGTAGGACATAAATAACATTTTCACAATATTAACTGACCCGAAGAAAATCTTTAATCATGTCAGTCACTCTCTTCAATTTTGTGTACAGGTTCCATGAGCTGTGCCTGAAGAAAAGTTTGCAGAAGAATCTGGTGGGGAAGTGCATAGTGGAGTATCCAACAATTCATGTGGTTCTGGAGGACCACTGTCAACACTACAGTGTCCTAGATACAGTCACAGGTACACAGGGTCTGGGGATCAATTCTATGGTTACAGTGTTCTAGATACAGTCACAGGTACACAGGGTCGGGGTATCAATTCTAAGGCTACAGTGTCCTAGATACAGCCACAGGTACACAGGGTCTGGGGATCAATTTTATGGTTACTGTGTCCTAGATAGAGTCAGAGGTACACAGGGTCTGGGGATCAATTCTCTGGTTACAGTGTCCTAGATACCGTCACAGGTACACAGGGTCTGGGGGATCAATTCTATGGTTACAGTGTCCTAGATAGAGTCAGAGGTACACAGGGTCTGGGGATCAATTCTATGGTTACAGTGTCCTAGATACAGTCACAGGTACACAGGGTCGGGGTATCAATTCTAAGGCTACAGTGTCCTAGATACAGCCACAGGTACACAGGGTCTGGGGGATCAATTCTATGGTTACTGTGTCCTAGATAAGTCACAGGTACACAGGGTCTGGGGGATCAATTCTATGGTTACAGTGTCCTAGATACAGTCACAGGTACACAGGGTCGGGGTATCAATTCTATGGTTACAGTGTCCTAGATACACTCACAGGTACACAGGGTCTGGGGGATTCATTCTTAGGCTACAGTGTCCTAGATACAGTCACAGGTACATAGTGTCTGGAGATCAATTCTATGGTTACAGTGTCCTAGTTACAGTCACAGGTACACAGGGTCTGGGGGATTCATTCTTAGGCTACAGTGTCCTAGATACAGTCACAGGTACATAGTGTCTGGAAATCAATTCTATGGTTACAGTGTCCTAGATACAGTCACAGGTACATAGTGTCTGGAGATCAATTCTATGGTTACAGTGTCCTAGATACAGTCACAGGTACATAGTGTCTGGAGATCAATTCTATGGTTACAGTGTCCTAGATACACTCACAGGTACACAGGGTCTGGGGGATTCATTCTTAGGCTACAGTGTCCTAGATACAGTCACAGGTACACATGGTCTGGGGAATAAATTCTATGGTTACAGTGTCCTAGATACAGTCACATGTACACATAGTCTGGGGATCAATTCTATGGTTACAGTGTCCTAGATACAGTAACATGTACACAGGGTCTGGGGGATCAATTCTATGGTTGCAGTGTCCTAGATACAGTCACAGGTACACATAGTCTGGGGGATGAATTCTATAGTTACAGTGTCCTAGATACAGTCACATGTACACAGGGTCTGGGGGATCAATTCTATGGTTACAGTGTCCTAGATACAGTCAGAGGTACACAGGGTCTGGGGCATCAATTCTATGGTTACAGGGTCCTAGATACAGTCACAGGTACACAGGGTCTGGGGCATCAATTCTATGGTTACAGGGTCCTAGATACAATCACAGGTACACAGGGTCAGGGTGTCAATTCTATGGTTACAGTGTCCTAGATACAGTCACAGGTACACAGGGTCGGGTTATCAATTCTATGGTTACAGTGTCCTAGATACAATCACAGGTACACAGGGTCAGGGTATCAATTCTATGGTTACAGTGTCCTAGATACAGTCACAGGTACACAGGGGCTGGGGGATTCATTCTTAGGCTACAGTGTCCTAGATACAGTCACAGGTACACAGGGGCTGGGGGATTCATTCTTAGGCTACAGTGTCCTAGATACAGTCACAGGTACACGGTCTGGGGGATTAATTCTATGGTTACAGTGTCCTAGATACAGTCACAGGTACACAGGGTCAGGGTATCAATTCTATGGTTACAGTGTCCTAGATACAGTCACAGGTACACAGGGTTTGGGGGATCAATTCTATGGTTACAGTGTCCTAGATACAGTCACAGGTACACAGGGTCAGGGTATCAATTCTATGGTTACAGTGTCCTAGATACAGTCACATGTACACTGGGTCTGGGGGATCAATTCTATGGTTACAGTGTCCTAGATACAGTCACAGGTACACATAGTCTGGGGGATCAATTCCAAGGACACAGTGTCCTAGACACTGTTACAGATACACAAAAGCTGGGGAGGGTCAATACAAACATTACAGTATCCTATATATTGTCACAGGTACATTTTGTTTATTTCTTTTTAATGATAAGTATGATACCCTGTTTGCTTAAACATTTCTCAGATGGGATGCAACAATACTTTGTCAATATGTTCTAAAGTACCTGTCTACAATGTCATTAAGTATGCTGTACACATACTGAGTGTGTGTTACAGAATGATATGATCATATGTAGACAAAGTCAGTGGTGTAAGCACTGGTCACTGGTACTATGTTTAAAAATGTTTTTGAACGACGCTTAACATCTTTACATACACTCAACTTGAAGTATGTACCAGAAATGAAATCATATTGTCTTCCTTAAACATAATTGAGTAAATTGTCCTTTGATCAGAACTTTAAAACTTAAATTTGGTTGTTTGATCTTATAAAAGTTATTGTGCTAAAATCAAGATTGGCTTGTGGCCTTCACTCTGCAAAAAGTTCATGAATTGGCATTTTCTAGCAATGCTGGAGTTCATTTAAGGATGTGATGATGAATCGGTTTTCAGCTCACCTAGCAAAAAGTGCCAACCTTTTTCTTTGGATAACTTCTTGAACACTGAACCCAGGGTCCTGGCCATTAAATACCTGGGATAGGATGCAAATGTGTGAAAAATAAAGATTAAACAACATCTTCTGAATAACCAAAATGCCAAGGGTGATGATGTTGATCTGCAGCATGCTTGGATGAGCATGAAGTGCTAAAAGTTATCTTAAATAAATTACCTAGGCCTTTCAAGGTCACAGGGATCAAATATCTTGAAACCTTTAAACATCTTCTTCTGAATAACCATGCATCTCAGGTTAATGATATTTGGCCATTGAATACCTAGGATAGAGTGCTATAAAGTTCCTTCCAGGTCACAGGGGTCAAACTTGTAAAAAACATTCAAACAGCTTCTTACATAATCTGAGTAAAAGGCCCAAAATGATGATATTTTGCCAGTAGCATGCTGTCATGCAGTACATGCATATTATTTCTTCAAAAAGATAACATTGATTTCTCTCAAGGTCACATTTTAAAAACCTTTGAAGAACTATTTTTTTTCAGAACTAAGCCAATATCATGGATGAAGATCTTCCTCGTTTGTCTAAATAAATGACTTCAAACTACTTGAAGGCTGCAAGGTTCAAATATTCAAACCTTTAACAAATTCTGAATAACTGGTATACCATATGAATGATACAGGCCTTCTGGGCCCCTCGTTATCAATAGATCCTCCATTTTAATCCATTTCTCATATTTAATTGTTTCAGATTCCGATTTTGATGATACATCTTGTTCTATGGAGGAAGTGACTAGTTCACCACTATCAGACAAATGTCAAGTTGTGATAAGGGACGAGTCGAATACGCCCACAGACTGCGTGGTAGCAGAGCATGCACCAACACAGACCAGCGCACTTTGTGATGTAGGCGAACCAGTGTTAAGTACACCTCCCACTCTGATGATGTCTGCAGATTCAAGCATGACCCACAAGACCACAGAGTTTCCTTCAGATAGCTGTGGTACTGTGATAGATAACGGAGAGCAGCGATGTGGTGAGGACGATACATCAGATGAGACTGTAGACGGGCATCAATCTAGTGTTTCGCTAACACACAGTGCACAATGTAATGTCACAGTAATTACAAATTAAACATGGCTTTCAATTCAGTCATCATTGTCATTGTTTTTATTTTCCTCAACTTTTGCAAGCTATTTGAAAATGTCACTTTTATTTTATGTAAATTTTGACATTTAAAAATAATCCTGGTCACTTTTTGATAACGAAATACCTGAATTTTCTCCCCTTCTAATGAAAAGGAGTCAAAGTGGAGGCACATGTTCGTCTAGTTCTGCTTTTTATAACATCTGTGATTTGAAGTATACTTGAATCACCACTGCAGATGTACAACTCACTGCAATTAGGTCACTGTGACCTTCACATCTCGGTCAAAAGTCAAATGAGGTCTCTTTGTCAAAGGTCAAGTAAGTACAAAAGTTTTGTCCGGACTGTAAATTTTAAACCATTGATTATATCTTGATTTGAAACTTGAAGGATACCAGCATCACCTGTAGAAAGTGTGTATATATAGTGCACTGTAATTAGGTCACTGACCTTGACCTCTAGGTCAGAGAAGTGCAAAATGTTTTGCCTCTTACAAGTATGCCTATCCGAAGTGGATAAACTGTATACAACTGTTAGGTTTATACATATAACTTAACGGAGTTTATATTGGTGTCATTCCACCATCTGTTAACGTCATGCTTGTCTGCAGGTGGTTCCTGGCTTAAGTTATAGAACCTTATTTCAGGAAACAATACAAAAGTATTCCAGACATCAATCACTTCTGGTCAATGTTAGGCTTGGTATCATTCTAAACATCATCAAAATACCCATACTTTTTAATGTATATATGTATATATGTATAATTTTCCGTTACTTGGATGTCATTTGTTTGTTATAATGAAAACTAGTTTGTTTGAGTTACTGTATACCGGGAAACTTTCTATCAAATATTCGCCCTTTGCCAATAAAAAATTGCCTAATGTTAATTTCGCCATTCCCATGTAATAACTAGACATTGTATGTCGTGTACAAATATTCGCTGTTATGATAAATACACCCTCATTTGGGAGTGCAGAAAAGGCGAAAGTTGAACTGCAGCCAAACATTCCCAGTATATACTGTAGAATTATAATTACCTAAACGTTCCCAGTATATACTGTAGATTTATAATTACCAAGCTTCCCAGTATATACTGTAAATTTAAAATTACCTAAACGTTCCCAGTTTTATATACTGTAGATTTATAATTACCAGACTTCCCAGTATATACTGCAGATTTATAATTACCCTAAACNTTCCCCGTATATACTGTAGATTTATAATTACCCTAAACTTTCCCAGTATATACTGTAGATTAATAATAACCAAGCTTCCCAGTATATACTGTAGATTAATAATAACCAAGCTTCCCAGTATATACTGTAGATTTATAATTACCCTAAACTTTCCCAGTATATACTGTAGATTTATAATTACCAACCATTCCCAGTATATACTGTAGATTTATAATTACCAAGCTTCCCAGTATATACTGTAGATTTATAACTACCACGCATTCCCAGTATATACTGTAGATTTATAATTACCAAGCATTTCCAGTATATACTGTCGATTTATAATTACCAAGCATTCCCCGTATATACTGTAGATTTATAATTACCCTAAACTTTCCCAGTATATACTGTAGATTAATAATAACCAAGCTTCCCAGTATATACTGTAGATTAATAATAACCAAGCTTCCCAGTATATACTGTAGATTTATAATTACCCTAAACTTTCCCAGTATATACTGTAGATTTATAATTACCAAGCTTCCCAGTATATACTGTAGATTTATAATTACCAAGCTTATCCAGTATATACTGTAGATTTATAATTATCTTAAACTTTCCTAGTATATACTGTGGATTTATAATTACCAAGCATTCCCAGTATATACTGTAGATTTATAATTACCCTAAACTTTCCCTGTATATACTGTAGATTTATAATTACCAAGTTTCCCAGTATATACTGTAGATTTATGATAACCAAGCATTCCCAGTTTATACTGTAGATTTATAATTACCAAGCTTCCTAGTATATACTGTAGATTTATAATTACCAAGCATTCCAAGTATATACTGTAGATTTATAATTACCAGACTTCCCAGTTTATACTGTAGATTTATAATTACCAAGCATTCCCAGTATATACTGTAGATATATAATAACCCTAAACTTTCCCAGTATATACTGTAGATTTATAATTACCAAGCATTCCCAGTATATACTGTAGATTTATAATTACCAAGCATTCCCAGTATATACTGTAGATTTATGATTACCAAGCATTCCCAGTATATACTGTAGATTTATAATTACCAAGCATTCCCAGTTTATAATGTAGATTTAGAATTACCAAGCATTCCCAGTATATACTGAAGATTTATAATTACCAAGCATTCCCAGTATATACTGTAGATTTATAATTTCCAAGCATTTGACTGAACATCAATGAAGGACAAACGACATGATCCATTTGAATGTGTTTAATATATTTCATATAATGTGACGAGACCTATTTACAGATATCATTGGTAAAACTTCAGTAACAACATCTTCTGTAACAGTTTCTACCATACAAACGTGTTATTATCTATAACAAGGGTGTAGTACATACACATAATATAAGCTTTTCTAGGTCCAGCACCCGTAAGTTAAGGTATGCAGGAATTATTTCTTTCCTAAAACACTCAACTGAAATATACCATTATAAAGAAAATATTTCTTTAACTTGAATTCTTTCAAATAACAACTTTAATAAAAACACCCAAAATAAATCTGCATATGATGATATGCTATTCCAGTAATAGTTAGTTATAGGTGTTGGTTCGATGATTTTTTTATTAAATAACTTCGAAATTCGAAAATGAGATATATGACATGTATGAAAATGATAAATTTCTTAAAATTTGTGATAAACCTTTGTAAAATGTATCCACTGTGAATTTAAATACTGATGAGTTCAATAGCATGTATCCTCCTGTTTATTGTACGGATTTCAATAATATTGAATTAACAAAAATACTTCATATAAAACAAACTTTACAAATTAATTCTGCACTGTTTTTAAGTATAAATGTCTGTATATTCAATAAACCATAATGACTACAAAAATATATCAAAACAATTCTGAATGAATCTAACCTCTGAAATTGTTCCCAACATTTCATGACTTATTTACACCTAAAAAATAGGATGTATTGTCTAAGGAGCTGATCAATATGGTGAATACCAAAATCATCTTAAATGTTAACATACAAAAACTCCCAATTTTTGTGTGTGTATCTTAAATGAAAAAAGTCTTGAAAAATAATTGTTATACATATAAGCAAATGTTTGAATCCAGACACAAAATTAATTGATAAGTAGAATTTCACATTGCACTAACTTGTAAAAAAAATGGTGATTACCGAAATCACACAACAGAATTCTACTATTTGTGACACTAGGACCAATATTAGATTTAGATAACTAACATGCAAAGTAAATATATGTAATTGTACATAACTGGCTTATTACTTCGTCAGAATTTATAATAATACACCCGTTAAATCACAGAAAATGTACAAGCTCCTGACAGAAAGTTAGACGGCCAGTCATTTGTTATGTATTTCGGTAATAATACTAATATGAACAGAAGGAATATCCACGCTCAAGCCCAGCGCCCCACTGAACAACCCACCTACCTTGGAACTGATGTTGGCTCGTTTTCCTGTTTAATCTAGGTAATAATACTAATATGAACAGAAGGAATATCCACACTCAAGCCCAGCGCCCCACTGAACAACCCACCTACCTTGGAACCGAGGTTGGCTCGTTTTCCTGTTTAATCTGGGTAATGATACTATTACATAGCATATACAACATTACCAGTGTGTACCAGTTCAGTCCCATTCCCTCCAGTACATCACAATTACAGGTATAACTTGTTCAGTTTGCCTCTGTCAGGCTAATTCTCATTATTTCATTACCCAGTCAGTTTATGAATTATACATGCTCGCTACAAATACAATGCAACGTAAATGTATAGACACATGACCATTGAGCAATCTCGGTGTTTTGACAATTATCGGAGGCCTCACATGGTCAACAGTAACCAAGATCTGCAACAATTAGACACTATTAGTAAGAAGGTGTAACATCAATGTATGATAGTTGTTTGGGATTCTATTTGTGAATTGACTGTTATCATGATATATCATTTGTTTTTGTAAACAAATTTGCCCAGTAGACTGTAGATGCAAAAGGTTTCCATCGAGACCTCAATGGTCTTTATGCAAGTATCATCAAATTTATAGGAAATGTTACAAGATTAAACTTTATACAATACTTTCAATGTTTTTGACAAAGAAAACTTAAATCGAAGGAATGCAACTTTAAAGTCCATTCTTTCTAAAATTAAAAAGTAAATGGAATATTTAAAAGAAAATGTTTAAAAAACAATATCTATGTAATCCCCTTCCTGGTACATGTACATATAAAATGTAATTAATTCAACAACTAAGTAAATGTCTTATATTCAACCTTTGTATTGCTCAAAAATATACAAATTAATTCACGAGTATCTCTTCCAATATCAAACACAACCTTATACACAGTTGCTTTGAGCTCATATCGACCAGGAGTTGGAAGACCAAAAAAAAAAAACAAGTTCTCTATTAAAAACATATACCTGGTAGTCACTAGTGTAATCTGCCCAAACCAAAGCCTGTTTGATCCTGAATGCTATGCATGTTTACAGCATACAGATATATAAACAAAAACACCTTCATATTAATTAATTACATTCATTTTGTTGTACTTAATGAATCTAAAACCAGTTATTAATGGTCCTAATGGTAGATGGTTTTAATCAAATGTCTGTTTTTTAAAGGTTTCATCTAGATGGTGTTTGGCTTAGATAGGTTTGATCCTGCTGTGTGACAAGTTAGAAAGGTTCATCACATTGGTTGACATTCGTATCTGTAGGTGTTTGGATTAAAAAGTTTCACCCTGATGGTGTTTGCTTTAGGCAGATCTTATCTGGATGACTCTACTAGTAAGTTAAGACAGCCTCATCCTGATGAAGTTTGGTTAAGATTGTCTTATCCTGATGAAGTTTGGTTAAGATTGTCTTATCCTGATTTTGTTCACTTAAAGGGTATCATATGGATGTGTTTAGGTTAAGAGAGGTTTCATGGGATGGTGTTTGGTTTATTATATTAAGTAGATTTAACAGTTCAATTAAGCTGATAGTTCTATTCAACCTGTTGTTTTTATCCTGCAATAAGCCCAGGAGGTCAAAACATAATGTTTGACCTAATGTATGGGGTCTATTATAGGACACTCAAATAACATTTGTTGGATTTTCTACTGAAGGTCAATAACTATGCATGGGCTTATTACCAGGCATGGGCCTATTGCTGGACAAACATGGTCATGTCAATGGTTACATATATGAAATGGTTTTGTTGCCTGATGTCAATGGTTTAAGTTACCATAGCAAATACAACGAGACATTGCCTATCACATGCGTTAAGGATTCCTTCTCCTAAATATACTATAATACTACTTGAAGATTCTTCAAAAATTGGTTAAGAATATGTACACAGTTCATCAACATGTAGTTATATCAAGAATCTAGCACCTTGAACCAATCCCATTAATAAAATATCCAGCTCACATTAATACCTCGGTACAAGTTCTAATACTGTGCTAATTCTCGATAAATTCTTTCAGAAGAACAATTTGATAGACTTTAAGTTAATTATTTGATTATAGTTTTATAGGTTAAATATCATGATACAACAGTAACATTCCCTCAGTCACACAACCTCACCAATTAAATATCACAAACAATCACACCATCCATCTCTGCCCTTTGTTCAATTTCAAATCCTCGCTCCTCTCGCCTCAGTTTTCATTCTTTCATCAGCTATAATTCCCATCCCCATATTATAAAATCCTCCCTCCTACCTTCCCTTTTTAAAACCATACATGATTAGGCATGTAATTGTTTTTATTGATGCTACATATAGCTATTTTGCCCTAGCAATACATATATAATATACTTTTAATCACAAATTGGGAGCATGGTTCCCGGAGCATGCTAATGACAATGTTCGTTGAGGTCTACTACAATTGACCGTCGCCAGCCAAACAGGAAGTAGCCAGATGCAGCGCCCAGAATGACAGCTATGCAGAGCCAGGCGTTGTACGTCATGAAAACCAACATGAGGCAGTAACTGACAAACACTTGTAACATGTGAAGGAAGGTTTGGATGAAATGGCTGGCACTTAGCATGTGAACACTGCAAATAGAAAAAACCCACATGTTACTGACATTATAAATACCAATGCATCAGACATTTGTTTTTTCCATTACCACATCATTGTAATAAGCAACCCTTACAGCACCTCTCCCCCTTTTTTTCAACACTTACTGAATGATACTTCTTTCTACTTAACAAAATTCATAAATGTATTTACTTATTATAAGGCACTACAGTCTTGTAATCTGAGAAAGCTTGACAAAAATACACTCCAAAGCATAATCACATTCTGAACTACATCCTCGATATCCAGGGGTTACCCTCACTTTCGCTCTCTGCACTCCTGGAATATGTCATAGCAAAATTGAAGGCTCGGTGTGCGCCACCTTGTTGATGAGACAAGAAGACTAGTTCGACCCTTTGATGTACATCAAAAGAATCTCGCGGTCACGTAACGGTAAAAATTGACAGGCTTTGAAGTCGGGCGTCTTTCCTTTGTAATCTTCAAAGGACAGAGATTGAAGTTGGGCGTCTTTCCTTTGTAATCTTCAAAGGACAGGTATCAGCCTAGTGATTGGTCAGGGTTTTTTACCCGAGACCAATCAAACAGCTATCTTCGTGCCTTCAATTTTGCTATGACATATTCCAAGGGTGCAGAGAGCGAAAGTGAGCCTAACCCCTGGATATCGAAGATGGCTGAACTACATGTTTGACTTGTTAAGTCACCAGATGATGGTGACCTTTATAATTCATCCGAGTGATTGCATACTGGTTTAGATATCTGGTATGGGATTTGTTGTTTACCACTTTGAGAGGACATACAAACTAGGTTGTGATAAAGCGGTATATAAGAACCTCAAATTATTATTATAACGTCAGTAATCTGGTTATATAAAGCAACAGCATTAGATATGTTGCAAGTCTGCAGTGTTTCTAAAGCTGAGGAAGAATAAAAATAGCATTTTCTCCCAACACTTTTGTTTTTTTCTAGGGAAAAGATGAACCTATCTTTCTTTACCTACCTAGGAAAAGACAACTCACAAACACTAGGGAAAATATTGATAGCCTTTCCCCACCTTAGGGGAAAGACAGAAAAATCTCAACCCAAGGGGTAAGACTCTGAAATGTCTAGCTTGAGGCTTTGCCATTGTAAGGGCCAGACATTTAAGAAACTTACCCTGAGGGTTGAGATTTTTCTGTGTTTCTCCTTAAGTGGGTTTTGATCCTGTGTCTTTCACAACAAATACAAGTGGTAGTTTTATGGAATGCAACTTTTTATTTCATAATTTCCAGCAGATGATAGTTGTCCTCAATGACCTGCTATTGTTGATGGGAAGTCATTGCATTGTTGATGTAAAGTCATTGCATTGTTGCTGACGTAACGACAATGCATTGTTGATGTGACATCGTGCAATTGTTATGACAGGGGAATCCCCCCTCTCCCCATTGTTACCCTAGCATAAGACAGAGATATCTTTCCCTGACCAGAAGTGTGGATATCTCTATCTAATGGGGGAGAATAATCTGTCTTTAGCAAGCTCACACCCGCTATTAATCTTTTTATCAAAGAAAAGTGTGGGAGAAAAAGAATCAATCTCACCTGTGTTATGTAAACAGAAAAACCTCAATCCTCTAGATAACAATTTCGGAGTTTAGCACTCAGCCAAAACTTGTGCTAAACTTCCGAAATCTTATCCTGGGGACTATATTTCTCTGTCTCCATCACTAAGGAGTCTCACACAGGCTTCTATCACTAAGGAGTCTCACACAGGCCTCCATCACTTAGGAGCCTCACACAGACCTCTATCACTAAGAAGTCTCACACAGGCCTTCATCACTAAGGAGTCTCACACAGGCCTTCATCACTAAGGAGCCTCACACAGGCTTCCCTCACAAAGAAGCCTCACACAGGCCTCTATTACTAAGGAGTCTCACACAGGCCTCTATCACTAAGGAGTCTCACACAGACCTCCATCACTAATGAGTCTCACATAGGCATCTATCACTAAGGAGTCTCACACAGGCATCCATCACTAAGGAGTCTCACACAGACCTCTAGCACTACTGAGTCTCACACAGGCCTTCACCACTAATGAGTCTCACACAGACCTCCATCACTAATGAGTCTCACATAGGCCTCTATCACTAAGGAGTCTCACACAGGCCTCTATCACTAAGGAGTCTCACACAGACCTCTATCACTAAGGAGTCTCACACAGGCCTCTAATACTAAGGAGTCTCACACAGACCTCCATCACTAATGAGTCTCACATAGGCATCTATCACTAAGGAGTCTCACGCAGGCATCCATCACTAAGGAGTCTCACACAGACCTCTAGCACTACTGAGTCTCACACAGGCCTTCACCACTAATGAGTCTCACACAGACCTCCATCACTAAGGAGTCTCGCACAGACCTCCATCACTAATGAGTCTCACACAGGCCTCCATCACTAAGGAGTCTCACACAGGCCTCCATCACTAAGGAGTCTCACACAGATCTCTATCACTAATGAGTCTCACACAGGCCTCCATCACTAAGGAGTCTCACACAGACCTCCATCACTAATGAGTCTCACACAGGCCTCCATCACTAAGGAGGCTCACAGGAGTCTCACACAGGCCTCTATCACTAAGGATTCTCACACAGGCCTCTATCACTAAGGAGTCTCACACAGGCCTCCATCACTAAGGAGTCTCACACAGACCTCTATCACTAAGGAGTCTCACAGATGCCTCTACCACTAAATAGTCTCACACATGCCTCTACCACTAAATAGTCTCACACAGGCCTCTACCACTAAATAGTCTCACACAGACCTCTATCACTAAGGAGTCTCACACAGGCCTCCATCACTAAGGAGTCTCACAGGACTCTCACACAGGCCTCTATCACTAAGGAGTCTCACACAGGCATCCGTCACTAAGGAGTCTCACACAGACCTCTAGCACTACTGAGTCTCACACAGGCCTTCACCACTAATGAGTCTCACACAGACCCCCATCACTAATGAGTCTCACATAGGCCTCTATCACTAAGGAGTCTCACACAGGCCTCTAATACTAAGGAGTCTCACACAGACCTCTATCACTAAGGAGTCTCACACAGGCCTCCATCACTAAGGAGTCTCACATGAGTCTCACACAGGCCTCTATCACTAAGGAGTCTCACACAGGCCTCTATCAACCTTCCCTTACAACATGTGAACTAGGTATAGCTTTGCTAAAAGTTTTTTTATCATATTATTCTTCATAATTATTTTATTGAACATCATATTACTCCTGTATTATGTAGCAAAAATATGATATATCTTGTGATATAAGTCACATACAAAAAGCCTCTGTAGGGGGGAAATGCAGAATATCAAGGCAACATGAAGTATTTTGCATAATTGTGACTGTTAAGTTGGATAGTTTTGTATGTTATGCTGAACACCAGAGATTTGAGAAAACTTCACTGTCAGCCATTAACTAACAGAGCTATTGACTTACCTGATTTTTGTTCTGAAGTGAAAAATAGAAAACTGTATCTATAGGGAAAATTGCATTAGGCTAAAATGGAGCAAATTGTTTTTTGCTAAAAGATCTTTCACCTGGAAATTTTGTTACTAATTCACTTATACACATTTATGTTCACATCATGACATGAATCAAATAGCCAGCTTTATTGTCACAAAGACAATAACAGAAAAGCATTCCTCTTACATTGTTTATCTCTGGTGAACTCATTCACAAAGTGACGACAAACCGCTACTTTGATGCATGGTGTTAAGTGTGCAACGTCCAGAGCCGATACGTTATAGGGTAATTAATACATAAACTAATGGACCTAATCCTTAGTGGTTTTAACCACAGAACACTCAAAAATGCACATGGAAATTTTGTATATAATTAAGCTCTTTTAAAGGACTATAATGAGTAATGTAGGAACACTGTTATTTTATGCAAAAATGCTGCATCTTTCAATTTCTTAAGAATAATTGGGAAGGGGGCATACCTGGTACAAAAAGATACTTTTACAATTAATGCATGTACTAACTACTTATTATATAAGGTTATCCAAATCAATATCTCAATCTGCAGACCTTGTTTTCTAATATCCAGTTTTGTGTTCACAAAAGACAGAAGTGATTCAACAGAAATTAAATCACTTCAGTCTTTTCAGCCTTTGCATGCAAGCTGACATGTGATATCTATATAACAACTATGTAACAAGTACATAACAACTATATAACAAGTACATAACAACTATATAACAGGTACATAACTATATAACAAGTACATAACAACTGTATAACAAATACATAACAACTATATAACAAGTACATAACAACTATATAACAAGTACATAACAAGTTAACAATGTAAACAACAACTTCACCACCAATCCAACAATTTCTACTACAATTAAAGCATTTCCTTGAAAAGTTCACATGAAAAAGTAAAATACATCCATATCAGACAACAGTTTTATACGTTCTCATTATAGTAACAAACAGAACACAAAAAATGGTACCGTATTTGACTTGATAAAAGTGCATGCCATAATAAGGGCATCCCCAGCTATAAATACACACACACATCCTAGCATGCCTCGGTAACTTTTGGTGTGTAATCTGTGGCTGAAACTTCGAATAAATGTTACTTAATAATTGTGGCCTTCTCTCAATTACCTGCATTCTTATTAGGTCAAATACGGTAGTTAGGCATGCTTAAAATAGTAACAAATGGAACACCAAAAGAAGTTGGCATTTTTTAGAAAATAGTAACAAATGGAATGCAACAAAAATGTTAGTGGTGTTCATCATAGTAACAAATGGATTACCAAAAGAAGTTTGCATTTTTTAGAAAATAGTAACAAATGGAATGCAACAAAAATGTTAGTGGTGTTCATCATAGTAACAAATGGAACACCAAAAGAAGTTGGCATTTTTTAGAAAATAGTAACAAATGGAATGCAACAAAAATGTTAGTGGTGTTCATCATAGTAACAAATGGAACACCAAAAGAAGTTTGCATTTTTTAGAAAATAGTAACAAATGGAATGCAACAAAAATGTTAGTGGTGTTCATCATAGTAACAAATGGAACACCAAAAGAAGTTGGCATTTTTTAGAAAATAGTAACAAATGGAATGCAACAAAAATGTTAGTGGTGTTCATCATAGTAACAAATGGAACACCAAAAGAAGTTGGCATTTTTTAGAAAATAGTAACAAATGGAATGCAACAAAAATGTTAGTGGTGTTCATCATAGTAACAAATGCAACAACATAAAGATAACCTGTTCATTTTAGTAACAAATGCAACAACATAAAGTTAGCCTGTTCATTTTAGTAACAAGTGGAACAACATAAAGCTAGCCTGTTCATTTTAGTAACAAATGGATCAACACAAAGTTAGCCTGTTCATTTTAGTAATAAGTGGAACACAACAAAAAGTTAAATGTGCTCGTAATACAGTGTAGTAACAAATGGAACACAACAGGGAAGTTAGTTTTGCTTATAACAGTAACAAATGGAACACAACATAATTGATACAACAAATGATTATATTATACAATACCTGTATTAACAAATAAGGAATTGTGTTAGACATGCTCCAGATAGTAACAATTAGAACAGTAAGATAATAATTATATGTTAGACAATACCTGTATCATCACTTTTAATGCATACAGCGTAAGCTTATTGGATGATCTGCAAGACTTAGTCATTCTTGACCATTTTAAATATGAGTTATGTTCCATGTTCCATTAATCCAGAAATTTTACGAAAGTTATGGTTGATGGTAACAAGGATCAACCTCTCAATGTTATTCTTTCTTTCTGATATAAAATTTCTGCAATTTTCATGTGATTTACAAACTTTTCTATAGCTCTTAGTAGCATATATAATTGGTTGCCAGTTTAAGCAGTGAACATGCTTATCATAATTAAGCAATACTTATGACCTTTTACTTAGTAAATGTCACATCACAAGCATTTCAATCAGAAAAATAGACATAGTATTATACTAATAGATAAATCAGTATCAGAAATGTGTACAAGTTCTTGGTTACATGATGAAAGGATCTTAAAATAGTTTCCACTTTATATCAGATTGGTAAAACTGTTCCTGAAGTTTTTCTATTTAACCAAGGTTTTTCCAAAGAATTTTCATGGATTCTTGGTTATATGATCGGAAGGATTTTGCATACTGGTATTGTATGTTTCTATTATGAAACTTGTCTTTTAATTTCGTATGAGCTAAGCAAAGCCCTGTTATAAAGTATCATCATCTCACCAATCTCAGGTGAACCATTTGAAATAAAGTATCATAATAAGATTGTGATTTGTTATTTGATCAAACCTTTCCTCACAGTAAAAGAACCATAGTCACTATACAAATGTCACATGCATGAGTTAATTACATTCACAGGTACAAGGCTTTTTACTAAAATATAATTATAATCTCAAGTGCTGAAATTAGTACAGACATGATTACAACAAGAATACATGGCCTGACAAATTTACATACTTGCGTAACGTCCTTTGATCCTGAAGGGTATAGCTTTTAACAAAGAAAATAATACTCTGTCTTTAACACGTATTGGGTATAACAGTATAGCTTAGGCCTACTTATATAGTCAAGGTAGCAAAATACTTATATTGTCATCTGCATATAGATGTCAACCTCTGAAACCTCCAATGCGGGAGATCTTGATCATTCTACATTTTAATGAGGGGGAAATTGCCCATTTCTTGATGTTTCAGAAATTGAATAAGTGTTTTTTGCAGGTAATTTAGTCTAATTGTGGTAGTCTCCTTCCTAATAAGGAGTGGTCGACAGCTATACCTCTGCACCAGATGGACAAACACACAGGATATTGTTATGATACACCCAATGGCTACAATCCCAAAAGGACATTGTATACACAATGATAAGAAATATTTGCTATATAAGATACAAATAAAATCAGGTTTCATATATTTCTTGTCTCTACTGGCTTAACCCATTCACCCCTAAATTCACATTTGAACCTTACCAAATCAAAGACTGGGCAAGCCCAATTTAAATATATAGAGGTGAACGAGTTAAAGTCATTCAATACATCATCAGTTTACACAAGTCTAGCAGAGAACCCATCTCTTTGTTGACCAATTTTTCTCCCACCCTTCACAGGTGTGTCTCCCATTTTAGCCGGGAAAGATCAGCTTGTCACCCCCTAGGGGCAGATAGCCTCGTGCCGATTAGCACGTGTTCAATTGTGACGACATTAAAATGCGTCACCGGTAATTGTGACGTCATCAAAAGTGAATGACGATATTCATACCCCTCATGTATTTTTGTTTACACTACTGTCGGTGGAGTTGTGACTGAAATGACAGGATGGGAGAAAAACAATAATTCCCTACCTTGAGGGTGTGACAGAGAAATCTTCAACCCTCGGGGGGGGGGGGATGTTTTTGGTTGTCTCCCTCGGCAGAGCCTCGGGTTTGACAACCAAAAAACATCACTCCTCAGGTTGGAGATTTCTCTATCACACCCTCAAGGTAGGGGAAGATTCTATTAATCTTTATAGCAGACAGAAGCAAGAGCAGTCTAGCATGGTGATCTTCTACTTTGCAGAGGGAAACTTTGAAATCAAGCAAACTGGTAAATTAACTCTAATTAAAATGCAAGGATGTCTTACATGGCTATCTTCCATGTAGCCAAACGCCTGTATGCTGGAAAAATATCACCTTTGAGACTAGACAAAAAGCCATTTAATGATAAAAAAAAATCTCATTTTTATAATTCAATATTGAAGAAAGTCTACTTAAAATGATTATTACGAGTACACTCTGAAATGCATCCTACTGAAAAGTTATCTTACCAAAATTTAATATACTTCAGGCAACATGAACCTACCTAATTGGTTTTATCAAATTGTGTTACAATATATTTTTTTCTCCTTTGAGCTTCTGGAATACAGTATCACCATAACTTTAAAATTAAATAAACTTTATTTTTAATAACTATCAAACACATATATATGACTGTTAATCTCGCTTGTTGGCCCAGATGTAGGTTTTAGTATGGCCATCCAAATAAGGGAGGAGGAACTTAGAGTATCCCATCAATATGATAAAGTTAATTTAATTTATTTTAATTTATTTATTTAATTCAATTTAATGATTATTAATGATCAGAAAGGAAGTTAGAGATAAACATGTACAGTCTGTGATAAACTATTTTCTTACTGAAGTTTATTCTTTAATTCAGTAAAGATGTCACGGCAACACATGGCGTTTGAAGTGCTACTTAGTTACGCACTGACCTACATTCCAATGCAATATATCACTACGGTAACTTTAAAAAATTCTTTGGCTAGGAAATTTTAAATACCGACAAACTGTAATAAGTCGGTAGATATGGAAAAAAATGGCTGTAAATTTGTAAAGCTTGAACTAGGAGCACTCAAGTTGTACACTGTGAGTTATCGAAGTGTACACTTCCGCCTGCCAATAGCAAGCCCTGACATAAAGATCCAATCATTTAACGTAAAATCTTAGTTGAATACTTAGTAGATAGGGTAGATTGTGTCGCACTTTACACACATTTATACAGGTGTATTTCTCCAGCAGACTACCTGGACCCCAAGCTTGCTGATATACGTTCTGACTTCTGCACACAGAACAGATAGCTACTGTGCCCTGAACCAGGTTCTATAACATGAAAGTTAATTACCAAACACCTCCCCTTTGCTTTGGGCGGGGTGAAGAATGGTTATTGAAATTTTCACTGCAAAGTAAAATGCAAAATATCATTGAAATTGGGATGAAATTCTACATTATTATTTACACATGGAACTAATTTCCTATGTGCTGTAACTATTTACATTTCATATTTATGAGGCTATTGTGGAGCTGTGAATTATTTACAATGAATGTATGGATGTCCGACAGAGCTTTAATACTCCTATTCATAATCAGTTTATATCAATCTGTTAATATAAAACAACAGAAAGATATCCAACAAATGTTCAGCTGCTATTGTCTTATCACATACTCAAGCTTCATAATACAGACTTGTACATCACATAGTCTATCTATATGTAATATACATCACATATATAGTCTATCTATATGTAATCTATATCACATAGTCTATCTATATGTAATCTACATCACATAGTCTATTTATATGTAATCTGACACTCCTATATAGTGAACATCCTGTTCATCTCGAGGACAACTTGTAGTTGTTTGCCGTGTAATTATCTAACTTGTATACATGTATATTGAATACCAGTAGGTTTATATACCCTGTTCATCTTGAGGACAGTTGGTAGTTGTTTACAGTGAAAATGAAAATAAAACCTACAAAATTGACCATTTTAGCAAAAACTGGGGACCCCGGAAAAAAGAATAAGATTTTTACAGCATATTTCTGTCAGAATTATACTCTCATCACTGGTATCTTGAAGTGGCTGCAGGTATGTGTCTAACCAGGTACCTTCTGTAGTCATCAGGAACTCACTCTGAGAGTTAATCTAATCGACCCTCTAGCTACATGTATCAGGATCTCACTATGAGAGTTAATCTAATCGACCCTCTAGCTACATGTATCAGGAACTCACTCTGAGAGTTAATCTAATCGACCCTCTAGCTACATGTATCAGGATCTCACTATGAGAGTTAATCTAATCGACCCTCTAGCTACATGTATCAGGAACTCCCTCTGAGAGTTTATCTAATCGACTCTCTAGCTACATGTATCAGGAACTCACTCTGAGAGTTAATCTAATCGAGCCTCTAGCTACATGTATCAGGAACTCACTCTGAGAGTTAATCTAATCGACCCTCTAGCTACATGTATCAGGAACTCCCTCTGAGAGTTTATCTAATCGACTCTCTAGCTACATGTATCAGGAACTCACTCTGAGAGTTAATCTTATTGACCATCTAGCTACATGTATCAGGAACTCACTCTGAGAGTTAATCTTATTGACCATCTAGCTACATGTATCAGGAACTCACTCTGAGAGTTAATCTAATCGACCCTCTAGCTACATGTATCAGGAATTTGATTCCCAGGGTTGAGGTTGTACGAGTTTAACTTTCTGTTTATAAGAAACCTTATTCTGAGGGTTGAGAGTCTGTTCACATGTGTCAAACAAAAGGACAGGATTCCTTTTTTTCCATTGTGACTTGATCCTAATGTGTAAGTAACAACCACTCCAGCTGTTATTGTGTTGTTTCCTTGTTGATACACCACTGTTAAAGTGATGTCAGGCAAGGCAGCTACTTGTGTCTGTTTTACTTTTGAAAACTATGTCACCAAGTAAAGAATAAACTTGACGCTACGTTAGTGTGTCCCAGTTTGAGATCAGATTACTGGAGTATGACCCAGCCAGTACTAGTGTTAACCTCACGTAATGCCTACATAATGTCCATATACATGTACCCCCAGGTTAAACCATCAACATACCATTAAATAATACTGCTTTACAATCTAGATATTTTTATGCATGTACTTTAAAGTCGTGATGGTCTCTACTTTAAATAGAAGAGATAGCTATCAAATTCTTCAAGGATAATCATTGGATTTCTCTGTTATCATGTACTTAAACATGTAATTAAAGCTTGTATATAAGTGTACATAAAGAAAATCTCCAACAATCGGCTCATGTTGTGATAAAAAATACAGGTTTTGTGAAATGTTCTGAACCATTTACATATTAGTAACAGCATTCTCTCCTCAAAATATACAGCCCCTGGCATTTTTATGAAAGTATTTTTTTTTTTTTATTCAATTACTATCAGGTTGAATCTTACTTTACTGGTGCATTCTTTAAAATATTACTACCACTACCTCCTGAGGACAAAAAAATATGTATATCACTACTTCCTGCTAGAAAGATATGTATACTTGTACCCCTACCTCCTGACACAAAGGAATGTACTTGTATCCCTACCTCCTGACACAAAGTAATGTATTTGTACCACTACCTCCTGACACAGAGTAATGTACTTGTATCCCTACCTCCTGACACAAAGGAATGTACATGTATTCATACCACTACCTCCCGACACAAAGTAATGTACTTGTATCCCTACCTCCCGACACAAAGTAATGTACTTGTATCCCTACCTCCTGACACAAAGGTATGTACTTGTATCTCTACCTCCTGACACGAAGTAATGTACTTGTATCCCTACCTCCTGACACAAAGTAATGTACTTGTATCCCTACCTCCTGACACAAAGTAATGTACTTGTATCCCTACCTCCTGACACAAAG